TCGTGACCGGCAACGGATCGCAACCCTCAGTGTCACTCCCGTACCAGACCGGGACCGGCAACGGGATCGCAACCCTCGGTGTTGCCCCCGCGCCTCGCTCAGCCAGTGAGCGGGAACCAGTCTGTATGTGGGATCCGAACCCTCGGCGGGAGCGCAGCCACACTTCCCAAGCGGCGCACTAGCGCAGTGCGCCACCGGGCCGGCCCCTAAAGAGATTTTCTTAATGGTCCAATTTACTGCTAAGACTTTTAATCTCTAAAAACAGCTTTAATTTCTAGACTCACAACATCCCAGTACATTTGTTTGGAAAATACTGTATTAAATTTTACATTTCTAACTTAAGATTTTCCCACCTTATTCAAACAATTTAAAATTAGTCATAGCAAACAGAAAGTCTGCTTGAACCGGCAAGGACACCTTACCCTTCACAGTGTAAGAAAATATCACTATCACACCCAGAAAACAATTTCTGATTCAGCAAACGTAAGGGTCTGAGGTATATCTTATATATGATACTTTAAGTTATGCATAACAAAAAGGCAAAAATGTGGACATTTAATCCCATCTTTGACCATAGTCTTTCACAAATGAGTGTATTCAGGCTTTTTTCTACACTGATATTCAAATTTCAAAAGCCATGGCTTTTATTTTTCTATACAGAAACAAAACAAATATAACTCTTTCAACAATGAAATCCAGACTACATGGCACTATTGCTTCACAGCAGTAATTACAGCAAAATATCAAATATTTTTAAAATTATCCATTTTTTGTATATGACAACGATTCAGAAAAAGAGAATACTATTTTTCCTTCCAGGGGTCTAAATGACAAGGTCATTAAAGGCTGTTTTTACTCTGTTTTCTCTGCAACTCTTCCTTCATTTTTCCCTCCCAATATAAAACTCTGGTTTGCACCTACCCATGTATCTGAAGACTACACAGAATGCAAAGATTACTAACCAAGAAGTCTCTGTTATTTTCACTTTAATCTCCCAGTTATGTTTACCTTTATTCTAAAAATTATCAGCAGGTAAATTCTCACTCATAAGCACATATGAACATTTAACAGCATTCCTCAACAGAATGGGTTCACAACCTCACATTCTATAAAGATGACACCAGTAACACATATGTGGTGTTTCTACACAAAAATTAATGTTCTCAAGTTATTAACATCAGATCAAAATTTCCTTAGTAACAAGAAGGAACTTTTTAAAAGTTTTTAAAAAATCCTCAGATTTGCAAAAATACAGTTCATTTCATTTTCTGAATAGAATTGTATTACTTCGGATTAAAAAACTTCTCACTGCGCTAGCAAAGAATACAAAGGGATTTCAAAAATGTAAACATAAACAAGGGATACAAAGACAAATTCTTTTAAAGCTCAACCTTGGGAAAAATAACAGTGGGGATGGCGAAAACCTAAGTTGTGTAAGGACTTGGAAATGACCTATTTTTACCTCTAGTTTGTGAAGCAGCCCCAGATCTCATATTGGGCAGTGTCTGTATTTTCATCGGTCCCTCCGAAGCCTGCATGACCAAGGAACCATCTGGCAGGGCTGGCTTCACCAGCAGCTCAGGCCTGGAGGGCATCCGTGGCATAGTAGACGACTGGATATAGGGACCCACTGCGGCCACACGGCTCGGGGCTGACACCGCTTGCTGGGGAAGATTTCCATCAGACGAACCCTTAGAAAAAAAAGCACAGGTCTTTTAGTATTACAAGTCATGTTGGATGACCAAACTCAGAAAAAGCTGTAAAACTTTCATAATTTTTTAAATGAGCACTTTCAGAATCTAGCCATACACGCTGTAAGAAACGTTCCAAAATAAAAATACTCTACGATGACCTCTCACCCTATATTACTTTATTACAAGTATTAGAAAGAAAAGCAGAGGTACATAGGAAATAACATTAAAAAGTAAAAAAAAAAAAAAAAGCCGTGGATTATCTTTTGAGGACCCATAAACACTGTCTCTCTTTTCTGAGGGCACAATGAGCACTGATTCTAAAGAAGCTGCTTATGAATAACTGACCTCACTAGGCTGGTCATCTGTTTCCCTCCTCCCCTGGCCCATTACAAAACAGCCCACTTACTGGTAAATTTTCTTTCTGCTGTAGCGCTGCCTTCTTTTTCCACAGCCGGTCCCTCAGCTCATTAACACGCTTATCCATGACTGCTACTTCTGAATTACGCTTATTCAAACACTCCCTCTGTTGCTGTAGCTTGGCATTCTGTTCTTGATTCAGTTTGTTTCTTAACTGAATAAAATGAGGGGGAAAAAAGTAGCCAAGGAGTAAGAAGAAAAGTGTCCTCAGGCAGATAATCACATGGTTAACTATTATATAATTTCTAAAAATGTAAGGTCCCTCCACTCCTCCACACTTCTCTTCTCATGGTTTAAAATTAAGTGACATCTGTGCTAGACCACCAGCTGTGCAGATGAGCAATGCCTAAAACTTCCTGTTTGAGGTACTATACAGTTTGTTCTGGATTCTTTGGGGTTTAGGCCTTCCCCCCACTCATCCCCTTCAGGAAAAGCAACTGAAATCTAGCACTTCCTGCTACTTATATGGACAATTCTGTGTCTTTAAACAGGAGGTTGTACTGTATCTAATACAGCTATGGTTTACCTGCAGCTCCTTGTAGAGGCGATCAAGTTCAGCCACGGCAGACTGGTTGTCGTGGTGGCCCTCGATCCTGCCATTCTTGAGCATCTCTAGCTGTCTTGTAAGTTCCTCTACCTTTGACACAGCTAGAACAAGCTCCCGCTGTTTTTGCTGAAACAAACTATTCATCTGTTCAATTTCCTCCACTAGAATGAGAGTGACAAAAGCAACAACGGTTGAAAAGAATGAACTACTTCCGAGGCAACCAGGCTTTACAATAACCTTTCTAATAAAAAGTAGAGCAATTTTTCAGAATGTCTTAGAACCAACCTATTCCTTTTAGATGCAACAGAAATAAACACAGACATCTCCAAAAGTCTGTGCTTCTGTCTCAGTGTATCAGTAGCAGAATTTGAATTATATTATTAAACATTAAACTCCAAATTTTAGAAATAATGCAATTCCTTTAGAACTTTTTGTTTCAATTTTAGAATGGTAGATGGAGCTATTAAGTTAGTAAAATTTTGATTAAAATGATATTATAATAGAAGGAGCTATTATATGAATAAAAATCCTTGCTTTCAAATTCTCAATCAAAAAATATTTACAGGGAGAAAAAACTGCTACTACATTCTCCAAAGGTATCTTAGAAACTTTATCTAAAACATTCAACAACTGAAATCAATTCAGAGGAACCAGCAGCATCAAAACTGCAGTGAATTATATTTCTTCAATAAATTCCTTTTCGGCCGGCCCGGTGGCGCACCGGAGAGTGCGCCGCTTGGGAGCGCAGCGGCGCTCCCGCCGAGGGTTCGGATCCCATGTGGAGACCGGTTCCCGCTCACTGGCTGAGCGCGGTGCACCGAGGGTTGCAATCCCGTTGCCGGTCCCTGGTACGGGCGCGACACCAAGGGTTGCGATCCTGTCACCGGTCAGTAAAAAAGACAAAAAGGAAAAAAAAAAATTCCTTTTAAGGGCCGAGCCCGTGGCGCACTCGGGAGAGTGCAGCGCTGGGAGCGCAGCAGCGCTCCCGCCGCAGGTTCAGATCCTACATAGGGATGGCCGGGGCGCTCACTGGCTGAGCGTGGTGCAGCTGGTCTCAAAAAGGACAAAAAAAAAAAAAAAAAATTCCTTTTAATGTGAGCCTATAAAGATTCACTTTATTCTTCTTACTATGAATTTACATAAATTTCCTACATCGGAGTGATTTCTTACACAAAACAGTTTAACATGTAGCCTGTGATAGTAAAGTAAACCTACTAGGAACAACTCACCAAGTTTCCCATTGCTTAGCCGCTTCTGTTCCACGTGGCCTTTAAGTGCTCTCACTTTTTTTAGCTTAGCTTCCTGATTCTCAGCTATTTCTTTTAGCCTTTGAAGCTTCTCCTGCTCAGAAGCTTGCTGTTGTTGACGCTGATCTTGTTGTTTTAAAAACTTTAAACGCTGTTCCTAAAGATAAAAAAGCTAAAAATCATAAGGCATATCATTTTAAGCAGGTGTAGCACTAACCCCAAAATAATCTGGAGGGACGTTGTGGTTGCAGTTAGGCAGCCTGCCGTGTGGTCCTGTGGGCCAGGACTTTAAAGATAGCCACAGGGCCGGCCCGTGGCTCACTCGGGAGACTGCGGTGCTGATAACACCAAGGCCACGGGTTTGGATTCTATATAGGGATGGCCAGTTGGCTCACTAGCTGAGCATGGTGTTGACAACACCAAGCCAAGGGTTGAGATCCCCTTACCGGTCATCTTTAAAAAAAAAAAAAGATAGCCACAAATGCTGAAAAAATGGTGATAATGAAAAAATGGCTGCCCTGGAGGCCAAAATCTGTCATTGAGTTCAGTATTATTTCGGAGACTTCAACTTGCTATGGGACAAATTTTTAAAGGAGCAGATCAACCTGGATGAAGGCTGGCTACCTTTGGAGATAATGATAAAATTCAACAGGTTAAACTGTCTAACAATAGAGTTTAATGTAATAGTGGAAGCACTGAGCAAATCTAAGGCAGAACTCATGGAAATCACTGAAAATAAAACGAAAATCAGAAAACCTCCAAGCAAACCCCTCCCTGAAGTGACTGATGAGTATAAAAAAGATGTAAAAAACAAATCTGTATATATTAAAGACTTCCCAGATGATGCAACCCTTGATGACATAAAAGAATGGTTAGAAGATAAAAGTCAAGTACTAAATATTTAGATGGAAACAACATTGCACGAAGCATCCAAGGGATCAATACTTGCTGTGTTTGATAGCATTGAATCTGCTAAGAAGTTCATAGACACCCCTGGCCAGAAGTACAAAGACACAGACCTGCTAATACTTTTCAAAGATGACTACTTTGCAAAAAAAAAACCTGAAGAAAGAAAGCAAAATAAAGTGGAAGCTAAATTAAGAGCTAAACAAGAGCAAGAAAAAAAAACAAAAGTTGGCAGAAAATACTGAAATGAAATCTCTAGAAAAAAAGATGTTTGCTGAAATTTTCAAGTGATTTAGATGATCAGACCTGTAGAGAAGATTTGCACATCCTTTTCTCAAATCATAGTGAAATAAAATGGATAGACTTTGTCAGAGGAACAAAAGAGGGAATAATTCTATTTAAAGGAAAGGCCAAGGAAGCACTGGATAAAGGCAAAGATTCAAATAATGGTAACCTGTAATTAAGGAACAAAGAAGTGACTTGGGAAGTACCAGAAGGAGATGTGGAGAGAAAGAAGCACTGAAAAAAATCACAGAAGATCAACAAGAATACCTAAACAAATGAAAGTCAAAAGGTCACAGATTTAAAGGAAAAGGAAAGGGAAATAAAGTTGCCCAGCCTGGGTCTGCTAAAGGAAAAGTACAGTTTCAGGACAAGAAAACTAAATTTGATAGTCATGATGAACATGACGATAAGGTGCAACTGGACCAGTAAAAAGAGCAAGAGAAGAAACAAAGAAGAACCTGCATCAAACAAGAGAAAACAGAAAATGGTGCCTGAGAGAAGTAGTTTTGTAAACAATTTTTGTATTCATTTGCATTAGATTTTAAGCTGCTTTTGTCTCTGGAGTCCTTTAAAAAGAAAAATGAATTAGGTCCACTTCAATGTCCACCTGTAAGAAAGAAAGTAATTTTTTGTCAGTTAACTTGTCTTTTTTTTAGTGTTACTTAAATTTTTTTTTAAATTCATGTTTGTGTTATTTTGGATGATTCAAATATCAAAAGGAAGATTCTTCACCACATTGCCTTTGTAGTATGAGATGTATTAGTACAAACTAATAAAATATATACTATAAAAAAAAGAAAAAAAAAAAATCTAACCCCAATCCTTAGAGGCCGACATTGAGGTGCCCCTGTGACACTGTTCTGGTCTTACCATCTGTCCTATACACTGCCATCAAAATCACCTTGGAAGCTTGTTCAAAATAGGAACTCCAAGAAAAAAAAAGTGGGTGGGGTAGGGTGGGGCTTGGCTGGTTAGCTCAGTTAGCTGGAGCACAGTGCCAAAGACACCAAGGTCCAGGGTTTGATCTCTGTACCAACTAGCAGCGCCCCCCCACCCCCAAAAAAGCCCTCCGGAGCCCTAGAATCTCTTGGGGATAAGATCCAGGAATCAGTATTTTTAATCCAAGTAGCTCCTATGCAGCAAGCAAGCAGTGATTCTTCAATTAGTTTTCATAAACTGCTGTGACATTTTTAAGAAGGAGTTCATGTAGACACAAGAAGACAGTTAAGTGTACAGGATGTGGAGTCAAATTCAGACTCAAACCCAAGCCCTGCAACTTATTAGCTATGACACCCTGGACAAACTACATAACCTCACCAAGTATACAAGTCTATGCTTCTTCATCTATAAGACAGGGATGACCAATAGCAACCACCTGTTACTGTGGTAGGGATTAAATGAAATGTGAAATGTAAATCTTTTTGAACAGGATTTTACATAGTATACACTCAACAAATGGTTACTGAAAAGAGCTAAAGGAATACTTAACACCTTTACAAAACTGCAATTATGGAATTTGAAATTTTATTATTACATCAAAATTTTTAACTAAAACTGAGTAACAAAGCCACACAACTTATAATCAAAGGTAAACTTCTTAGGTCAATATACCTAAAACATAAATAACATGGCAATAATTTCAAAATAAGGACCCTGAGGTTGGAGATTTATTCTGCAACAATCAACCTTTTTATTTGAATGTGTCCCTGCTACTCAACGTAATAGTGCATCAGCATCACCAGGAGCTTGTTAGAAATGCAAAATGTCAAACCCCAAACCATACCTATTGAATCAGAATATGCATTTTCAACAGATCCCTAGGTGATTTCTATGCATATTAAAGTCTGAAAAGCAATAACACATGATTTTGAAAAAGCTGGTGGCTGGCATTACAAATAGAAATGGATTCATAGGGCTGGCCTGGTGGCGCACTGCTACAGTGCGCCGCTTGGGAGCGCGGTGGCGCTCCCGCCAAGGGTTCGGATCCCACTTACGGACCGGTTCCCGCTCACTGGCTGAGTGAGGCGCGGGAGCAACACCGGGGGCTTCCTCCCC